GACCCCCCTCTGCCCCCCGAGGACTTCCTGCCGCCCCCCGAGTGCCCCGTCTTCGAGCCCAGCTGGGCCGAGTTCAGCGACCCCCTGGGCTACATCGCCAAGATCCGGCCCATCGCGGAGAAGAGCGGCATCTGCAAGATCCGGCCCCCGGCTGTGAGTATGGGGGTGGGGGGACGGGAGTGGGGCGCTTTCCTGGAAGGGAGTGGGTGGGTTCGTCTTATAGGGAAGGTGAGGGCCTCTGGTCATTGATCCCCTGGGAGTTATTAGAGTTAGCTGGTGTGGATTTTCCGGGTTGTATGGCCGTGGTCTCTGAAAGTCTACACCAGCTAATGAACACCAGCCGTGAAAGCTGTCGACAACGTATTATTAGGATCGTGGGGGATACTGATGCTCAGAATTGGCAGTGCCTGTGTCTGTAGGTACCCATTGATAGGTATGTGGGGTGGGGGCAGGTTCAGTTCTCAGGTGGGAGACAGGGTCGAGCTTTGCCTGGCAAATGGGGTGGTGGGGCAGAAACCCACATCTGTGGAGGCTGTGGCGGTGGCAAGTGGAACAGGCGGTGGGCACGGATGCTCCGTGTTCGGTGGTGTTGGGACACTTGTTCTACCGGAAGGAAATTATCGAGGGCAGCCATGATTCATGGGAAGAGGTGAGTAGGTGGGGGGAAGGTGTATGGCTTCCAGAGGCTCTCCTGGTTGGAGACACCTTGGTCTGTCAGGTGACCGGGATGGGTCCTTTTGTGGCCCTGATTGAATGGCTGGGAAGAAGGTATTGGAGGCAGCCATACCCAAGATGCAGCTGACACAGGAATTCCACTTGGGGCATAACCAATGGTAATGATGTGATGTAGTTGGGTGTGACGCTGGAACCGGCAGGAAGTGCTGATTCCTTGCTTACACACCACATGGGTAGGTACAGGCAATGTAGGAGGTGGCCGAGAAGAGGCCTGAACTTTTAGTTTGACGGTCAAGTGATTCCTGTAACTTGTGCAGGCACATTGGTTGGTTATACCCACGATGGGTGGGTGGGGGGTAGGATGTAGCTGCTATTCTAGAGAGGCTGGTCTTTTACCAGGTTGGGTCTTCCCTGCACCCTAGTTTTCTGCAGCGAGACCTCATCTTTAAAGTACGGTGGAGCAGCATCTCTGGTACTGCCGATGTCGATAGGCTTTAACTTATATCTTCTCTCTCTCTCTCTCTCTCTCTCTCTCTCTCTCTTTTTGATGCACTACTTATTTTTTTTCGTGGTGTGTTATTTTTCTGCTCTAAACTTCGTAGCTGT